AGTTGAGATGACAAGGCTTCTTTATTCTATGTAGGTTCCGGGTGGTTGGTTTTTGGGAGAAAAGATAAGGTTTTGGTGCCGTATGGTTGGTTTAGTGTCGTATGGGAGAGGTGCTGTACATATGGGTAGGTGTTGGGGAAGCGATCGGTCGCAAGGGATGAGCGACCGGTCGTTTTGAAGCAGATTAGAAGAAGCTGGAAATCGAGACCAGCGACCGGTCGTAAGGTGCAAGCGACCGGTCGCTGCAGCTGTGTTGTTTTGGAATTTCGATTCTGTGCAAAAGCGACCGGTCGCCCAGTCCTGGCGACCGGTCGCACAGAACGTGCTGGTGCTGGGCTTTTTTTTCTCTCTGCTTACCCATTTAGTGGGCTCAAGAAAATGGGCTTGGATTTTGGGGCTCCCAAGCAGCCCAAAACCTGCATTCTCTTAAACCTTTAATGGGCCTCATGGATCCTTGTAACCATCCACACCACAACCCGCTCAGCAAGCCCCAGGCACGTATGTGGCTTGGGCCCACTTATGATCTAAAATAAGATGATGTGGTAATACAATAACCCACGTCGGTTATCCAAAAAATCGACGGCAATTCTTAAAAACGACATGTAATAGACATAAACACAACGGTTTATAATTAATAAATCTTGTACAGATGAATTTTGTACTGATATACTACGTCTGTTAGTACAACTATAACGACGTCTTAATAATATACAAAGGCAGTTATTATAAAAAAATTGACGTCGTATAGATAAATGATAGGTTTTTTGTACCTGGGCAAACAAGGTTAAAACTCCTATAAAACTTGCAAGAATGACAAGGTTATTGTAGTATAAATGATTCTCGCAAGGTCGTTCTCCGCAGGGATTATTAAATAACTCGTTGCAAACCAAATTCTAATTAATTATTGTAAAAGAGAAAATTGAGATGTTTGATTTGAAGACCTTAAATTAAAACGAATTTAACTAATAGAAATAAGGCAATATGCAAAATTAAAGCGAAGAGCAAGAGAAACAACTGTATTTTTAGAAATTAGATTAAGAAAGCACTAGGGATTCTCCGACACCTTAACAATTCTATATAGTTGTCCCAATTACTTATGACCTATACATGCATATTTCGAAGGTTATGTATTCCTAATATATGCCTACTTGGACCCCCAACATAGAGCGTATATCACACATGCAATCCGTCTGTGGTATTCAGATCAAATCTAAACATACATGACTCATTAAGTTCTGTGAAACCTTTTGAAAAACCATGCAACCCTTAAGACGTGGTATTCATCCTAAGTGAACTTGCACATATTAATCACGAGAAGCCTTCATCAATTTCAGGGACCGACCTTCGACCAAAACTGCATCAAATTACTTTTCTAAACATCCTAATGGTGATCAAGCATCAAGACACTTAGATAGTTTAACCCAGTGATGAATAATTCGAACACCTGCATGCATATAATCATAAGCAAATTGGATAGAAACTACATATTCTTGCTAAGGCTCATGGCCTCACCCTAGCAAAAGAAAGTTAGTTACACATGTTCATAATTAAAACCAAAGAAAATATCATTCGAATGAATAAGAATAAAAACACCTTGAAGTAGAAGTTCTTCAAAAACCCTAGCAAAGTCGCGTTCAAAAGCCAAAAGAGAAGAAGGCCTAAAAATTCTGTGAAATAGAACTTAAATACTCCCACAAACAAGCTGCCCACAACCAGCTTTTCTATCCCCACAAGGAAACTAAATAAAATAAAATAATGACATGACATAAAATCCAAATTGGACTAGGAGAATCTGTCCATAATCTGCCCAGCCACATTTTGGGCTCAAATCTCCTCCAAATCCGGTCCAATATAGCTTGTTTTATT